TCATGGGGGAGAGACTCATCAAATGTGAGTATCGTACGATTATCAGCGTAATTATTGATTATATACAGAAATTATTACGTTAAACATTCTTTTAAGCCTGTTCTTCACACTTTAGTTAGACAGGGATTTATATCTTTACACACGAGTGTCTTTATTGATTTTAACAACGTAACACACACACACACACACACACACACACTAGCACTTTAAATAAACAAAATAAACTCTCAAAATGTCAAGAAAGTAAAAATAAAATGAAAATAAAATCTCCAGATAGGATTCCAAAATAAAAGATGTCTCTTTATTCACTCCTTCACAAATTATTGTCAAACAAAAGCAAAATAAGTTTCCACTTGTTATTAATAAACACACACACACACACACACTATACAAATCCATTAAAAACCTGCCTGCGCTCACCTTAAACCACACTTCATTCAGACTCTACAAAATAAAACTCCCGTTCTCCAGGTAACGTGGTTCCGCCGGAGAAGGTGCACGAGAAGCTGTTCGTCGGCTCCCAGCGGGAATTCAAGAAGCCGTCTCAGCCGGCGGTGGCGCGCTACAACAAGCAGCACACGGAGGAGCAGATCATCAAGCTTCAAGACAAACTCCTGCGGAAAGAATCCAAGCTCCGCAAGAGACTGGCAGCACACGGCATCGACTACGACTTCCCCGGATTTGTAAGTGGAGTCGTGTTTTTATGAGGCCTTATGGAGACTGACTCGCTGCTGGAGCCGGCCTCTAGTGGCCGTTAGAGGAACTGCAGATATTCTATAGACAAAAAGAGGTGCAGAAGTCCAGTTTTCTCTCAGATCACTTCAATTATAATCTGCTGGAAGGTTATTATGAACTATGAACTGCCTATCGACGCTTTAAATTCATGCTTTCTTTAAAAAAGTGTACAAATAGTCACAAATAATGTGTCTGTTTTTTTTTCTGCCATAAAAAAGTCAAATTTCCACTTTAAAATACTTGAACTTTTCCCTCAGGAGCTTCAGATAAAGAATATAATGATAATATATAATAATTGACCTCCTCTTCCAGTCAAACATGGAGTTTAATCTCTACAGGTACTTGTACTTTGTTCTGTTTGCATTATTTTAACCTTTATTGCTCTGTTTGCTCTTCCAGGCTGCCCAGGTCCCTCTGAAGAAAAAGTCCTCTGATTCCATGAATGAGTCTACATGCAGCACCGTAAGGACCACACTAACGATATTAAAGCCCCAAAAACGAACAAAATAAATAACTGAACTTTGGCACAGACTGAAAATGACCCCAGGTGTCTCCAGTGATCTGGGGTCAGATTACTGTGCCGACAGTACTGCGGTGCATTAAGCTTATTGCGTGTGTCTCTCAGTGGCTGCGTGATAAAACCCATGTACCAACAAACTGTACGGACGACAACTAATCCACAACGCGAGGTCACACTACTGAAAATATCCAGCAAGCCAAATATGTGGTCACGTTGGAGACGACTGTGGACATATGACGGCCTTTAGCTCGTGTTTCTAGAGTTACGTGTTGTTACGAACACGTTAGGAATTGTTAAAATGTGATATTTCTTAAAGGGAGTTTGGTGCAGGGAGCTTTTAGTTGGATTCAAACTGCTGATATGGATCATTGTTAACGTTTAGTCTCCACTACAGAAACACTAGCTGACTGCTGAAGGCCGATCGGGTTGTCTGACGTCGACTGCTGTTAGTTATTAGTTTAATAAATGCTTTAATGCTGGGAGTATTGATTACTGACGCTGGCTGATCAGGATCATTATGGTTCCCCTTGGTGTGGGTTTTAAACTCCTGATTAAACATGATGTGCTTGTTATGAACTAGTTATTAAAGATCTTGTAGTGTTTGACCTCCTGCTGCTGATCAGTCACAGTATCCAGATTACAAAGACTGAAAGTTGTGTAATGTGAACTGTACGAAGGTCTGAGGACTCTGTAAGTCCCGTACTGGGTCTGAGGACTCTGTAAGTCCCGTACTGGGTCTGAGGCTTAATGAGCTGCTCTCTTCCTCTTCAGGACATCACGCCGGTCTGCACCCCGTCTCTCCTGGAGAGGAGGAAGTCCATGGTCGTCAACGACGACGACGCAGATGATGAAATCGTCGTCAGGATGCCCGCTGTGGTGAAAGACGAAGAGTGCTCCTCGGAGGAGGAGGAGGAGGAGGAGGAGGAGGGAGAGGAGGAGGAAGGTGAGAAGGAGGAGGAGGAGGAGGAGGACGATGAGGACTCAGAGAGCGAGGACGCCTCTGAAGAGGACGCGGAGGCGGAGTGAAGGTCCTCGCTGTGTGATTGTGGACTGTCGGAGTACAGATGCAAACGTCGGGGTCGCGTGCGGTCTTGGATTTGCGTCGAGAGTCGCGGGCCAGCTTTGAACTGTGTACAGAACTCAGTGTGTCCGTCTGTGTGTGCGAATCACGTTACGTTGGAAAAAGAAGCTCTTACGGAAAAAGACTTGCGGGCGCCGTCGATGGTGCTCGCAACATCGCCATAAAGAGCCCGGTTTACGGGCAGCAACTTCTTCAACATTAATGTGCATTTGAGTCTTTGGAGCGGGCGGTTTTTATTTGCCATGAAGGCTTTAAAGTTGATACAGAAACAGACTTTCTTTCTTTGTCTCACGGCCACAACGGCTACAGAGCGTGGTTGAATTTGTATAATGTAAACTATGATCTATAAAAAATAAATGATGTGAGAAGGTACTCATGAGCTGTCCTTTTAATACACAATATACACAGATAATGAGAGAATATAATCAATAACAAATATCTGTAGAATACACAATACGCAGAATATCCTACAAAATAAAATATTATAAACTATGAAATAGAAATATACAGGGAGGTAAAGAAACTATAAAGCAGAGAGTTTTCTTTTAGAGGTGTTTATAATAAAAGAATAAATGATTTAATTTCAGGGTTGAGATGTTGTGCTTGCTCCCTGTAGATAAACTCTTTGTTAATCTTAATAAAACTTCTCTTCCTACTATAAATCAGTGCTTCTCAATCTGGGGTTCGGGGAGCCCCGGGAGTTTTTTAGGGGGTCCAAATGGGGAATATTTTAAATGAAAAGACTAGAACAGCGCTCCCATTAAACCTTTTTAATGTTGCCACGTGGTCGTAAACACACACACACACACACACACACACATATTGATCACAGGTTACAGAGTCACAGCTCAAATTAATGCAAATACTAAATAAACCAAATTAAATCTCTTTCAAACCTTTGAGGATAATGGTGTCGAGGAAGTGTGTCCAATACGTCTCCTGCTGGAGGTTTCTGTCCCTCTTCCCGCCTCCTCCTGACACCTTCACAGTGTTCCTTTGTATACAGTGTGTTTACTGTGTGCTGGTTTAATCACATGTATCAATATTTGCTTCCTAAAAGAAGATATCTGAGTTAGTAATAAATCGTTTTCCTTCCAAATGGCCACAACAGATCATTCAATTAATGTTTTTTAACACGTTATTTTTCAATTTTGATCTAAATGAATGTGTTTTCTTTGTGGTAGACGGACACTTTTTAGGGGTTTATAATCTGTACATCGTAGTTTAACGTGTTTTGTTTCTTGTTGTTTTTGCTGAATGTGTGTCGGCCATATTTCTGTACATCGAGTGCAACGTATAAAAAACATACCTGGTCAATAAAAGTGATTCTGACTTTGTTTTGTTTTATCTCTCTCTGTGTGTGCAACAGTTTCAGTACAATGGAAATCAATCAATCAGACTTTATTTGTATTGCACTTTAATAAGTGAGGAAACACTGGAGGCAGAATAAGAAAAAGAGGGAAGGGATGTGCTACATAAAACTCAGTCAGAGGTACAAATAGATAAAGTAATAAAACATTAAAATGTAGAAATAAATACACAAAGTAAACAGTAATATAAAGATTATAATAAAACAGATTAATAAAAACATTGATTATGTTGATTATGCTCAAACTGATGAAACCACATTTTCATCTGGATATATACATTTATTTTATTCTCTTTTATGTTATTTCATGAACTTTATATTTTTCTGTCTGCAGCAGGAAGGAACTAAAAACTTTTAATTTTGTTAATGTTTTTTTAATGTTATTATCTTTGTATAACTATGAATACATTTCCTTAATAATCATAATAATAATAATGATAATAATGATAATAATTTAATTAATAGATAAACAAAGTAACAAAACAGATAAAAATGTATAAATAGAAAAAAGCGACTAAATGGATAAATAATAATAGTAATAATAACAATAGATAAAATAACAAAACAGATTTAAATGTGTAAAAAAAAACAATAAAACAAATAATAAAAATAAGAATAGATTTGAATATCTTATTATTATAATAATAATAATACTAGATAAACTAATAATACTGTATAAATAGAAAAAAGCTATACAACAGATTAATAATAATACTACTAATAATATATCTATTATAATAGATACTGTAATATTAATAATAGATAAACAAACGAATAAGGATTAAAATGTATAAATACTAAAAGATAAAACAGATAAATAATAATAATAATAATAATAATAATAGATAAACAGATAAACACATTGAAAAAGATAAAACAGATAAATAATAATAATAATAATAATAGATAAACAGATAAACAAATAGAAAAAGATAAAACAGAAAATTAATAATAATAATAATAATAATAATAGATAAACAGATAAACACATTGAAAAAGATAAAACAGATAAATAATAATAATAATAATAATAATAATAATATATCTATTATAATAGATACTGTAATATTAATAATAGATAAACAAACGAATAAGGATTAAAATGTATAAATAGTAAAAGATAAAACAGATAAATAATAATAATAATAATAATAATAATAATAATAATAATATAGATAAACAGATAAACCAATAGAAAAAGATAAAACAGATAAATAATAATAATAATAATAATAATAATAATAATAGATAAACAGATAAACACATTGAAAAAGATAAAACAGATAAATAATAATAATAATAATAATAATAATAATAATAATATAGATAAACAGATAAACAGATAAATAATAATATTAACAAATAAATAAGGAAATGAAAATCAATTAAACTGATCAGAACCCAGCCGCGCAGACTCAGTGTGTCCACCAGGGGTCGCCAGATGTTGACTTATACACACCGACATCTTTTTTTTTTTTTTTTTTTGTGCATTGCCATGCGACAGTTTTCCAAGTGCCAACATCATCCCTGGAACCACTGCGCATGCGCACGACGATCCCATTCTTGTCCTGCAGGCAGAATTCCGGGTGGAGAGAGAGAGAGAGAGAGAGAGAGAGAGAGAGAGAGAGAGAGAGAGGGAGAGAGAGAGAGAGAGAGGGAGGGAGAGAGAGAGAGAGAGAAAGGGAGACAGACAGAGGAGGATTGTGAGGCCGTGGAGCTGAGTATTTACACCGAGAAACACGAGCTGTGAGTCGGACCCAGCTCCGGCGGGATATGGTGAGTAAGAACCGGGCTGACGAGGCTCCGTTTCCCGCCGCGGAGACACATTTGATCCTCTTTTGTTTCTGCCTGAGAGAGGCTAACAGAGGAGGGCTAGCATTAGCTTTATATACCCCCCCCTCCTCCCTCCCTCCCTCCCTCCCTGCCCTTACACACCTACAGTCTGCCCCAGTGCTGGAGGCAGGGGGGGCAGGTGGGAAAGGTTAGGCTGTTTTATAGATAGAAACAAAAGGAAAGTGATGTGTCATGGCCACCGGGGGGGCTGTCAGGGATGTTCAAAGGCTAGCTGGAGCTAATGCTGTAAAGGAAAAAGGTGTGTGTGTGTGTGTGTGTGTGTGTGTGTGCGCTGTAAAGCAATCTAAAGCTGTGAAGCAATCTAAAGCTGTAAAGCAATCTAAAGCTGTAAAGCAATCTAAAGCTGCTCTATAATCGTGTAGTTGTTGCATTTTAAAGCTGCAGTAGGTGAAATATTTTTTTGTCCTATTTGCTTCGAACTTTCGTTATATTCTGATGTTAGCCTGCGAGACGGATAATGTCGGAAAAAATTCGGTGCCTCTGAGTCGTTCTAGTGCTCCTAACGGCGTTTGTAGGAATCCACCCGGGGCCCGAACAGAAGCAACCAATCAGAGCCGGGACAGACAGTGGATTGGTGAGCGTCATTCCCAGGTCGTCTTCAAGCATCCAATCCAAAGTGTCTTTATATCTTTCTCTGCTCTGATTGGTTGTTTTCGTTCGGGCCCGGTGGATTCTTGTAAACGCCGTTGGGAGCACTGGAACGAGCCACAGGGACCCGATTTTTTTCACACGTTATCGGTCTAATGTTGTATTATCAGGATATAATGAAAGTTTGAGTAAATATAACAAATATTTTAATTAAAATTACCTACTGCAGCTTTAATAGCTTAAATTTAACTGTTAATACATTTATTTGATGTAATACTTTAATAAGACAATAACAGAGACGGCAATAAATAACAATATCAGTAAAAAAAAACTACTATAGTTAGGGATGAATGATAATTATCGGGGGCAGATAAATAATCGGTATCTATAATGGGAAATGTATATTATTGTTAATGATCGGGATAATTAAATGTGCATACACAGTGAAATACAATACAAATACAATAATATAAAACTATTTGTATCAATCCCTGCCTTTATTTGAAACAGGCCTTTATATGAGACAGGCCTTTAATTCCCTTTTTGCACAATTATAGTAACGATAATTATTAGTTTTACTATGAAATTGATTGTTTATGAATATTACTTGTATAAATATTAGGCTACGTAATAACATATCAATTACGGATCGTACATTACGATTATTTGATACTTTGGTGTTTATACTTTCCATAAAATAACCGGAAGGATTAAATTGTGGAGAATCAAACTTTATTTTTTATTCCTAAAGTTATATTTGTGTAGTCGATCTCAGCCGCGCAAAACTCATTGAAACGGGCGACCCAGTGGGTTTTTAAGAGGTTTTATACATCCGAAGCCTCTATTTGAGACCTGCCTCTAATTGGGACCCTGCTTTTAATTTGAACTTTTATCTCTTTTTTTGTCTGCTAACTTTATTTAACAGTTTTTAACCAGAAGTTGATATATTAAAGGTCCAGTGTGTAACAATCAGGGGGATCTATTGTCACCAATAGAATATAAATCTACACACTGGCCCTTTAAATTATAGGAAAACTGTCCTAATGGATGAAAAAGTTTACTTCTTTATACAAAAAAATTATAATACAATAGTTTTTAATGTTTTCTTACCACCCTAATATTTATCTGTACTGTCGCTGCTAAATAAACTAGCAAATAAATCGGTTAGCAACTTACATCACTTCTTATTTCAACATGTTTTGCAGTAATCAGGAGAAAGTATTCCGGCTCATAGTCCGGTCCATCTGCTTCAAGGTTTGATTTTCCACATCTGATCGAGGCTGTTTAAGGAATTCCTCTCGGGTAGATAATCCTGTCGAGCAAACAAAACACGGCGGCGAGGTTCTTGTGTGTCGTTTATCTGCTGCTGGAGCTCAGACCCGGTGTTTCCCCGGCTGTAGTGGGTTGGGAAGTACCCTGAAGCACTGTGGCCAGAAGTATTCGGACGGCCCGTGTGCGAGTGTTGCTCATCTCATTCCAGAAGCATGAGCGTTCATCTGCTGCAGTTATAATAACAGCTTCAGCTCTTCTGGTTGGACCTTTATCACCAGATTTATGGACCTGGCTGCGGAGGTTTGGCTGGTCCGGTTCATCCTAAAGGTGCTGGATGGGGTTTAGGTCAGGGCTCAAGTGTGAACGCCGCTTTAAAGCCCTAAAATTCGACATTACGGCCGTTAAACTGCGGTAAGTTTAGACCCATCCATAGCAGGAAACAATGGCTGCTTCCTGAGATCATAAACTCATCAGGAAACTGTTTACTGAGCTCATAAGTCGGCTCATTTCTCCATAAGACTCAATACTATTGGTTTCCCTTTCACCGACCCAGAAGCTGCCTCCGCTAATTATATACTATCAGTGGTTCGGGGCCAGTCTAGTTCTTGGCTGGCTTCGTGCACAGAGACATTGTCGGACAGGAAAAAGATTTCATTTGATTATCTGATTAGTTTATCAAGAGAGAGATCATCTATTTTGCTAATCAATTTACATTTAAGCAATTTTTTCAAAGAATAATGCCAAATATAATCAGATTTCAGCGCCCAGAATATGGAAGATTTGCGGCTTTTCTTTGCTTCATATGATAGTTTGAACATTAGACCATTAAGAAATGATTGATTCTGACTGATTTCTGATGATAGGCCGATGAATCCATAATGAAAACAACCGTAAGATGCAGCAGTGTGATTCCCTTTTTGGCCACATTTATGAGCTAAAACACTCAAACTGAAGCTCAGAAGTCTGAACTGTACCACGAATCACGTAATAATGAAGTGACTCTGCTCTGTTTGTTTGTGTCTGCTCCTGTAGGGCTCTCCAGGGCAGATCCCGGGACAAGACATGGAGCTCTAAGCTAGCCCTCTCCATCCTCTCTCCATTTGTTGCCTTGCTCGCCAAACCCCCACGTCTTCTACCCCTGCTATAGCGGTTTGGCTCAGACTCCTCTGAGAGAAGAAGACAGAGGGGGGAAAGAAAGAAAAGTGGGAGGGAGTAGTAAACTTTCCCCAGCTGCTGTCCAGACACACACATGCTGCATTGCTGCCATTCCCCAAGCCCTGCTCCATCCATCCCTAGGGCACGGCCACTAGCTTTCTAGCACAAAAGGCAAGGCCTGTCCTCGGGGATAAAAATACAAACTGTGTATACACTCTTCCTCCCTTTTGCTTAGCTGTCATTCCCGAGTCAGAGGAGGTTTGTTTTTTTATCCGAGGTCGGGATGACGGAGCCCAGCATGGAGAACTGCCTGGCCCAGGTCCTGCAGAAGGACATGGGTCGACGGCTGCAGGTGGGGCAGGAGATCATTGATTACATTTTGGACAAGGAGAAGTCCCACGACCTGGAGCAGGATCAGACGGCGCTGGACAAGATGATCGACGGCATCGCCAGCTCCTGGGTCAACTCCAGCAACTTCAAGGTAAAAGTCCGCTGACGAGGCGCTAAAACAGAATGGATTATGGGTATCGAGGTGTGGGCAGGTTTCCACGCCACCTACCTGCACCCACGCTGGTTTAAGGCTTTACTGTAACCAAATAGCTTCGTGATTCCCCATTTGTATTCTCTCTGGCTCAGTTTCATCCTCAATTAACAGATTTGCTGTAATTTGACCCTTCCTTTGGGTCTCTGAAAACAAAAAAAGGTTCACTCGGGTCAATCGGAGCGCAGAGCGAAAAGGGGCGGGGCTTAGGAAGGGTAAACTGTGGTTTTGCCTTCAGTTTAGAAATGGTCTGTTTGTGCTCGTTGAGCTTTGAGTTGATGTTTGAGATAAATGAGATAATGTGAGTTATCGGTCAGTACAAACGGAGGCTGAACGCTGACGCCTGTGCAGGAATCTCTTGTTTCTTCTCTGTGTTTAAACTTCTCTTCCACGTCTTTGTGCAGCCGTAGAAACGCCTCCTTTTTCTACTTTTGTTGAAGGAGGAATTTTCTGTTTGTTGTGCAGCAAAAAGCATAATAGTCCATTATTGTTTCCCCCCCCCCGTTCACCATTGAGCCGGCTCGCATTCTTCTCCTGTGATTGATTGTTGCTTTTATTTTGGAGTTCAATGTAGGGCACAGTTTTTATCATCTGACCCTGAATTGTGATTACATGAGCGGGTTTATTCAGCGCCCTCAACCACAGGTTTGCGTTCACCCTGCCACGACTGTGAGAGCACATTGTTTACCGAAATAAAAGCTCTGATTTCATGTCGGGATACGCTGCTTTTGCTCCATGTGGGCCTGAAAATGTCAGAGATATATCTGCCTGAACAAAGCCGAGCCTGCCCTCCGTGCCCTACATACTGCACCTCCGCCACGACGGGGAAAAGGCTTTTTTTAAGTCCATTTTTCTCTCCTGCAGCCTCTGTTGTGTGTGTGTGTGTGTGTGTTTGCTGCAAATTACAATGTGTGTTTTTTTTTTTGCTCCGAGAGGTCTGGCACATGCCTGAGAGAAATGGTGATGCGAGGCCAGAGAGGGAGAGTTTGAGGTTAGGATACGGAGCAAGAGAGGTTTAATTGGATGTGACCTGGTTATAGCTGAAGGTACCAACCTCCCGACATTGTGCTAACTCAAGTCTGGCTCTATATTGTATGAATCCTTCTGTTTTCACTACTTAAATACAGTATCCTGGTGCATTCTGGGTGCTAAAAAGCTTGTGGATCTTCAGTGAGTCAGTCTGTCAACCTGTCAGAAGCAGGTGATGATGTTTCCTCTTTTTTTTTTAAGCTCTTCTTTTTACAGTCAGTGTTGTTAGCTCAGCAGAGGCAGTGTCCTCAGCACAGGGCTCGCTGATCACTTGGCAACTAATGTGGAAACTATTTAGTTTGAGAGAGAGAGAGAGAGAGAGAGAGAGAGGGGGTGATGGATTCATTTGCCATAAATGGAGCTTTGGGCGGATGCCTCTAATACAGAGCAACTGTTTAAAGAAAGAGCTTTACAGTGTTTTACACCCTCCCAACCTAAACGTACCTCTTCTGTTTGGATAACAAACATTAGACCATGCTGGTGAGTCTGAAGTCAAATGTAGGTGAACCCTGAACATCTGGACATTTTAGAGAGTAGTTTTTCAGTCATGGAAACACCTGGAAATTGATTAAACTGATCCTGGTTTGTATTTTAGCCCCTGACTCAGATTGTAAACCTGTGTGTGTGTGTGTGTGTGTGTGTATTTTGTTTAAAAGCTCCACTGTTTGTGGGATAAACTGACACTTTAAAGCGGGTTTTACCAGATATTCTCATATCTCCATGCAGCCAGGGTGCCAACCACAGGGCAGCCCGGCAGAGCTTGGAGCTCCTCTTAATGAGACGTGAGCTCCCCTGAAAGCATGATTTGTGAAATTTTGGGAGGTCTCTAAAATACAGACAACATCAGCCCCTCTGGGATTTTCTTTCCAGTCTAAAATGTCTGCTTTCAGGGCAGCCGTCTAGAAAATTACGATGCATGTTCTGATGTTTTTAAGCTTTTTTTGCCATAAAATTGCAGGAGAAAGTGAAATAATTCATTAAAAACTGAAGGTCAGTGTGAGACTTTAACACTAGAAACGAGGAAGCGAATTCGGTGACGTGTGACTCGACGTTTAGAGCAGGAAAGTTGGGGTGATTGCTGTGTGCTAGTTTAGCCGTGCATTTGAATTATTTGCATAGTCATCTTTATGGATTATGTGTAAACTACTACGTGGTATAGTTCTTACACTGCATACAGCATTCATTTCATAGTTGCTGTGGTTGATATATAATAATACCTCCACAGTGATGTTAGAAGAGGAATTTTCTGTAAAATACTTGATTTAATGTAGTGAAATAGCAGCTTTTATGTCCTGTATTGTGAAGAAAAACTCCTGGAAAATGTCCTGGAAAGGCCCTGGAAAAGGATTGTCAGTACAGTTGAGTTTGGGTCACTACTGAAGGAGAAAAACAGCACATTTGTCCCTTTTTGTGCACATTTGGGGCATTATTGTTTGTCATATGAAGGTTTTAGGAAGTTCCAGGCTTTGTGAGGTTACTCAGGCATTACATTGTGTTTGCATATCTTAAGTAACTTTTGTTTGGTTAGTATCAGCTGTGCTATCTGTCACAGTGCCTGATTCAGCAAACCTGTTATTGTGCAATTGAGACGATAATGTAGGATTTCATTCTTTCATTTGAATTGTGAGTTGAGTGAATCATTACATCCCTGGTTGTTAACTATTTTGATAATCGATTACTTGTTTTTAGTAGTTTTTTAAGGGAAAAAAATCTCCAGATTTTCTGATTTGAGCTTCTCAAATTTAAATATTTTGAGTTTTTTTTTTTCGTCTATGACAACCTGAAGCTTCACAGGCTTTCTTTATTTTAAAGGGTGGGGAAAAAAGAAGCTTTCTTTGAAGGAAACTAAATTAAATTATTATTTAAGATCTAAACAACCAATAAAACAAATAAAAACAAACACAACTGATAGAACAATGAGAAGAAAACACTGAATCCGTCAGAAAAGAAGCTTATTAAGTCTGTATGATTGTTAAAAAATAAAAATAATACATAATATAGACAGAGAATTGTACAAAAAGTCCCTAAAAATATCAGGTGATATCAACTGATCTTTGATCAATATTCACAGGAAATAATCTGCTCATAATTCATCCAAATCTCTGATTTTACACAGACTTCCTGCAGTTACTGAGTTCACTGTTTGGATTCATTGTTCAGTTTATCAGCTGTTCTCTACTGTTAGTGTTGTTATTGAATATAATATGAATAATCTATAAAATACAGTCAGTTTACTCTGATAGAAAAAGGGTTGGAAACCAGTGCTGTATGACAGTTTGTGGACAAAACAAGATGTTTGAGGACGTTAACTTGGGCTTTATGGAACAATAATCAACATTTTCCACCATTTTCTGACATTTTATGGATGAAACAACTAATCAATTAATCAAGAAAATTATTAATAGGTAATGATAATAACTACTTGCAGCCCTAGGAGATGTGTTCACCCTGGGAAATTCAAATCTTTAGGGATGCACGATAATTATTATATTATATTATATTATATTATATTTATAGGCTTCATGTTCTTTGTCTGTGAAGTTTCTGATGGAAAAATAAATAATGAAGAGTCAGAACTGTTGTTGCAGGTTATGAACTTGTTTTTAAAACGCAAAAAAATGTGAAATTATCGGTTGTTTTATCGAGTGAAGAAATATCTTTATTGTGCATCCCCACAAATCCTCCATGTATTTGTAAATCTGAGGAAGAATAACCAGGTTACTCTCCTGCAGCCGATGTATAAAACGAGTCATCACAAACTGAAATTGGGCACACTTTGTGATCAGCAGCGTCTTCTTAAAGGAGCACACACACACACACACACACACACACACACACACACCGCCACTGATTGCTGTTGCCAGGCTATTCTGACTGTTTCTAAATAGAGCGATTTAATGATTCATGCTCGTGCAATTTCAAATGAAAAGAGTCATGTGTTCCCGTACATGGACACCTCTCGATCGGTGACAGTTGTCATTTTCCTTCCTGCGTGTCCCGATTATCTTCAGGGTGTGTCGGGTCAGCACAGCAGCCACATCCCAGCTGAGGGTTCGGCTTGCTAAATCACCTAACCAAACCTGTGCCGGGCTGAGCGAGGAGGTGTGGCGCTGTGAGGGGAAGCATGTTTTACCACACAGACGCACCTTGAGTTCACTGCAGTGGTTGTGGAGATAATCGTCAGTGTGTGGATCGAACTGAGTCTGGTGTGTGTTTCTGGGCGTATCTGCTGTCAGCTGAATGCACAACCCTGCTCGACATATGAACCCCCCCCCCACACACACACACACACACACACACACACACACACCCTCCCGGCTGCTCTATAATTGGTGGTTCATCCTGTCCTGTGACCACGCCCAGTATCCCATGAGCACTTGTGTGTGTGTGATCGCATTCGGCACACTTCTGAGTCACATGTCTCTTTTTTTGGTTTTTAAATTTGCAGTTTACATTTCATTATTTATTATTTTCCCCCGATAGGGAAAGAAAAAAGCTTCAGTAACCATGCCAACGGCAATGACGGGCTCAAGGATTTCAAGCACTTTTTCAAGGACAATTTAGTTCAAAACAAAAGGGGCCAATAACTGTTGTAGAAGAAGTTTAATCCAGCACAATTATACAAAGACTTGGATGGTTTTCCAGGAATCCTACCTGTCCTGGAAAACCTGGAAATGTAGAGACTAGTTTTCCAGGTCATGGAAGCACCTGGAAATTGAAATAAAATGACCAAATATCCTGGATTTTTTTAAATTGTATTTTAGCTTGTGTTGTGGCAAAGTTAATGTTACAGTTTGAAGAAATCTGAAATCAATAGACCTTTTTCACTGCAGCCATTTTGACATGCAGTAGTAGGGTAAACACAGGTGTTGGCAGTGATGCTTTTTAAGGTTCTGATCCATTCAGGTCAA